AGCTTAATATTGGTCAATCCCCGCAGCACCGCTTATATTTTCGGACAGAGGAAGTACGCATCACTCAAATGCTCTCTAATTTTTAGGGCTGGATTCGATAGTCAGCTCTGGCCTCTGTCAAGATGATTGAAATCAAAGATATTGATCCAGTGTCAGTGTGGTCCGAAAAACAAATTAGTTTGTTCAGCTCAGTGAATGGTCATGCCGTGAACGTACTCGCCAACAGTCAAATGTGTATAGATCAATCGTGTTCAGCGTTGCACGCTCTTAAAGTTGTTCAGCGCCTGCAGAGCGAATATCGGCTTGATGATCGACAAATTGTATCGAATACCTAAATTTTTCAGAACTAAAGTATTATATATGTTATGAAGTGGCCGGAATTACGCTAATCAGTGTCGTAGTGTTTGATTAATCCGTATGGTCTGTCAACGAGTCAATGTTTTGCTCAAAGCGTTAGCTCTACTTGTGATGGAACCAGCTACTTCGTATATCAAATGCATATATCAGTTTATTGTTTGTTTTGTCCATCGTGTTTGACCCTCACATCCACATGTAGGTACGTATAGCGCCCTTAGGAAAGCTAGTATCTAGTACCATATCACCGACGTGAATCTCAAAGTCAGCTGCTTCCGTGTTTTCATTCAGCACAACAAGCACCTTGCGACCTTCAGGAGTCACGAATGCACTAGCCTGCACAAATGAGTACCCTCCCGTCGCACATTGATCGATCATTGAAGCCTGGGAACGCAACGTGCCGTCCTCTTGATTAAACGTCCACTGTTGGTAAGGTACAATTTCAGCTTGGCAAGGATAGGCGACGATTCGAACACCATTTTGAGTTGATCCATGATTCAGTGACAAACAAAGGTCATTCACACGGATGCGTCTAGTAAGCTCTTCAAACGTCCACGTCTGCTGCGTGTACTTGCACTCAACCATTTGAATCTCCTTGCCTTGCCACTGTGTATCAACTAAACTTACGCAGAAACCAGAACCCGTCACTTCAATCTTGCCATCATCCGTCATGTGCATCGACTGGCGCGCACTACCATCACATGAACTAAGAGCAGCAGGATACGACCACATGAGCTGAGCATCACCGGGCTTCTCAAAACGAGCAGCTACGTGCGTTTTAACACGACGTGAACCAACAGGAATATACTTCGAAAAGTGCTGGATAAAGTAATACATGGGCTGAATCTTAAAATCCGAGCCGTCTTCCGTCAAAATGATGGGGGCATCGCAGTTGTTGCCTTGGTGGTTTGGTCCACCTTTGTGGTCCAATAACAGATTCCAATCAACCCACCCGACGACATTATTGTTTAAATCCGTCATAATGTCGTGGCCGTACCGTTGAGCACGGAACCAGGCAGCATCTCCGAATGCAACACCAGGACAATTGCAGCTTTCTGTTGCTAGCATAAAGCGATTTGGATCAATGTAGTGCGTGTCGTTCAATCGTTCGTGATACGCCACTCCATCCATGTAGCGCTCCAAGTCGTACCAGTGAAAAGCCATACCACCAACATATTGCCTTGCAGTAGGGTGATTGTAAATTGTCTCGGCCCAATGTCGCACACTAGCACGGTTATGGTCAAATACCATGAGCGTAACCTCAGGATGATCACGTTTGAGAACGGGGCCAAGGAAGTCGCCGATAAATTCTGCCTGATACGATGCGTTATACATACATGCTTCCCACGGCGCGGCAAACTCAGGCTCGTTTTGAGGAGTGAGACCCCAAAATGAAATTCCGTGTTGTTTGTACGCAGAAATGAATTTGGAGAAGTACAACGCCCACGGCGCGCGCACGTCGTCTTTCAAACCCACAGGATCCAATGAACCAAGCATGCTCGGGGTATACTTGGCGTTACCGCGTTTCATCCAAGCTGGTGGACTCCATGGAGCCAGAAATAGTTTTAATCCTGGTTGACGCTTCAAAGCACGTTGGATAAACGGAATCAGCACTTCTTGATCACGCTTAACGCTCATATCAAAGTGCAGCAGCTTTGAATCGTTCAGAACATCATCAAAATTGTACGAACTAATCGAAAAATCACATGAGCCCATTGGAACGCGGCCAAATGTGTACGCACTGCCCAACTCCTCGTCAAAATAGAGTGTAAGCACATCTTCTTGTTTATCTAATGGCAATTTCTGGAACTGCAATGCTGCGGCCTCAGTAAATGCACCTCCAAATCCCATAATTTCTTGAAATCGAATGTCTAAATCGATGCTGATGTACGAATTTGTGTTTTTTAAACCGCCACGCTTCCACTTCAATCCGCTCACAGATTCCATCATTCGCGTGGTATTGTCAACATACCAGCTTTGAAAACAAGTAACTTCTGCGTCCTCTGCAAAAGCATTTTTTAACTTGTAAGCTCGTGATCTCATCATTGCAACCACTCCATCATCATGTACTGTTGAGATCTTAATCAAAGCAAAAAAACTACAGATACCACAGATTGCAAGTCCAAGTAAACTCCATTTCACAAAAGTGCGGCGTTTGGAATTATTCCGATATTTATGCCGCTCATCCACTGCTAAGTCAGTTGTTCCATAAAACGAAACATCCATTTTCGAAGGTCGATTTGTGTTGTTCGTAGCACTTTAAGAATTGAATGAAATTATGATATTCTTTCACCACACGTCGGATTGATCCCACGTCCGTTGCTGAGAGAAGAAATTCGATCGAAAACGCGTCAAATGCTCGTCAATCCGTTGACACGGGGGTTATATTAATACGCGTCGACCTGTCGTCAAAACAGAAAGAATAACGGTTTTTGCACAAACAGTCAACCTGTTGAACCATTTTGGTCCTGTCTATCTTGACTTATTATTTTGGAAAAACTGCACCAGAAATAAGCTTTTACTGTAATTAAAACGGCACTACAATCTTCTAGCAATGAATTAAACCTGCTTTCCAAACCAGATAAATAGTTGGTTATATGTATGTGAGACAAAGCAAAAGGCACCACGGCAGAAACCGTTGATCTGACCGTTCATATACCTTGGGATCAAATGAGGCACCCATCGACATCTACCAAATTGACAAAAAATGTGTGATACAAAATTTACGTGATATATACAAGTGTACGTATGCGATGGCATAAAGTTTTAAAGGCTTATATTATATTTTCGTTTTACCAGATTGAGAGCTTGTTAACTTTTAGCTAGCTTCCAACTAATACTCCTCACCAAGTTCCTCCTCCTCGCCCTCACCTTCAGCGGTTTCAGCAGAAACCTCTTCATAATCCTTTTCTAAAGCAGCAAGATCCTCTCGAGCCTCAGAAAACTCACCTTCCTCCATTCCTTCACCAACATACCAGTGGACAAAAGCACGCTTGGCATACATCAGGTCGAACTTGTGATCGATTCGCGAAAATACTTCAGCAATCGCACTAGTATTTGAAATCATGCACACAGCACGTTGAACACGAGCCAAATCACCACCTGGCACCACAGTAGGTGGTTGGTAATTAATACCACACTTGAATCCCGTAGGACACCAGTCAACAAATTGAATCGTGCGTTTCGTCTTAATCGTAGCAACCGCTGCATTAACGTCCTTCGGTACAACATCACCACGGTACATCAGACATGCAGCCATGTATTTACCATGACGGGGATCACATTTTGCCATCATTGATGCAGGCTCAAACGCACTATTAGTAATTTCAGCCACCGACAGCTGCTCGTGATAGGCTTTTTCGGCTGAAATGACAGGAGCATACGAACTAAGCATAAAGTGAATACGTGGGTATGGCACTAAATTCGTCTGAAACTCTGTAACATCAACGTTAAGCGCTCCGTCAAAGCGCAGCGATGCTGTAAGCGACGAAATCACTTGGGCAATCAGTCGATTTAAGTTAGTGTAAGTCGGCCGCTCAATGTCCAACGAACGACGGCAGATGTCGTAAATTGCCTCGTTGTCAAGCATCACAGCCACATCTGTGTGTTCTAACAACGAGTGTGTAGATAGAACCGAGTTGTACGGCTCCACAACAGCTGTAGACACCTGTGGCGACGGATAGATCGTAAAGCCCAATTTACTTTTGCGACCATAATCAACCGATAGACGTTCGAGCAACAAAGCCCCAAGACCAGATCCAGTTCCACCTCCTACGGCGTTAAAGACCAAAAAACCCTGCAAACCGGTACAATTATCGGCCAGCTTACGGATACGATCGAGCACCAGATCAACAATTTCTTTACCAATAGTATAGTGACCACGCGCATAATTATTCGCGGCGTCCTCCTTGCCCGAAATGATTTGTTCCGGATGATACAGTTGACGGTACGTACCAGTACGTACTTCATCACAGACACTAGGCTCAAGGTCCACCAGCACAGCACGCGGGACATGCTTGCCGGCACCAGTCTCGGAAAAGAACGTATTAAATGCGTCATCTCCGCCACCAATGGTCTTATCACTGGGCATTTGGCCATCAGGCTGAATCCCGTGTTCTAAACAGTAAAGCTCCCAGCATGCATTGCCTGTCTGGATGCCGCCTTGACCGAGGTGGATCGAAATAACTTCACGCATGATGAAAGATGTCGGGATATAAAGTTTAAGAGAATAAAAGACGGCGAAAGTTGCAGCTAATAAAACAACGAGGAAGCTGGTTGAAGAAGCTTACTCGGGGTTTCTTGCTGGGGAGGATATTCGAGAATGAATAATTTCAGGTGTTCAATGCTTTGAGGATCTTGGCTGAAACGACGCGCTCTTTCCCAAGAGGCAGGATGCGTTTTTAACGGTAATAAACCGTTTTGAAGTATTTTTTAGCTTTGAGATATTTTATTTAGTAAGGCTGATTAAAATAGAATGAAATCTGCATCTAGCGTACACCACATCAAATTGAAGCTAAATGGAGCGCTACGATCGTGGAGAGGTTTTAGGTGAGGGTACGTTCGGTATTGTGTACGCTGCTGTGCAGAAGAGTACGGGACGTCGTGTGGCCATTAAGCAATTTAAACGTGGTAAATTTAAGGATGGTGTCGACTTTACGGCTTTGCGAGAGGTTAAATTACAGGCAGAACTGAAGCACGTGAACGTTGTGGAGCTGCTCGATGTATTTGTTGCCAACGATACGATGAATGTCGTGTTCGAGCTGTTACCAAGTAATCTAGATGACATCATCAAAGACAAGGCGGTGGTCCTTACGGCTGCTGATATCAAGTCTTATATGCAGATGCTACTTAGAGGACTCGCCTACTGCCACGAGAATTACGTGCTGCATCGCGATCTTAAGCCTGACAACTTGCTTATTGGGCCTGACGGTCACGTCAAGATTGGTGATTTCGGTCTGGCTAGAATATATGGAAGCCCAAATCGAAATATGACGTCGATGGTTTGTACCATTTGGTACCGGCCGCCTGAGCTGCTCTTTGGTGCGAGAGAGTATAGCGGCTCTGTGGATATGTGGGGAGCTGGGTGTATTTTTGCAGAGCTAATGCTACGAGTCCCATATTTAACAGGTTTGAATGAGCTAGATCAACTTGGAAAGATTTTTCATGCACTTGGTACACCAACTGAAGAAGAGTGGCCCGGCATGAGTTCGTTGGCTAATTATGTAGAGTTTACTCCAAGCGCAGCTCCTCCACTTGCATCAATTTTCTCTGCGGCGTCTGAAGACGCTTTGGATCTTCTGGCCAAGCTGCTAAGATATAATCCCACTGATCGAATTTCTGCAGCAGAGGCATTAAAACATCCGTACTTTGCCAACTCACCAGCTCCTACTCCAGTTGAAAAGTTGCCATCAACACCAGCCTTACCACAGACATAAAGCACCCGAAATATATATGAAATGTAACTAAAATACTGCCGAAATAATCGTTAGCCTTATTTAGCACTGATTGTATCATTGTCTTAAGAAATGATATTAGGAATTAACATTTCTCTGAAGTAATAAGACATAAACTCAACACATTACAGGCATGAGTCGTCCTGAGCACATCTCTCCGCCAGAAGTACGTACAGCAGCCAAAGCTTTGCAATCGATTTACTCCATCATGACCACGCATTGCATATTGATTGTAGCTTTATTACGATGAAAAAGAAGCAGCCAAGTACAACTCGAGCTCGCGAATTGTGAAGGTGCAGCAAGAGTTATCAAATCGCGCCATTGAACTCTTAAACTTGCCCGAGGGCAAAGAAGCTTTTGTATTAGACGTTGGCTGTGGAAGTGGACTGAGCGGAGGTTTGTCAATTAATTATTACTAGTAAGACTTCTCGTCCACGTGACAATCAATTGACTATTCGAGTTTTGATGGGCATAGTGGCGTTGGAGGAACACGGTCACGCTTGGGTTGGCGTGGATATCAGCAAAGACATGTTGGACATCGCTTCTGAGCGAGATAGCAGTGGTGATGTGTTATTACAAGATATGGGTGGAGGTCTTCCGTTTCGTCCTGGTGTGTTCGATGGATGCATCAGTATATCAGCTATTCAATGGCTCTGCTATTCGGACAAGAAAGAGCACACGGCACGAAAGCGTCTGACGCGATTTTTTACTTCACTATACACGTGTTTGAAGACTGGCAGTCGCGCTGTGTTGCAACTTTACCCAGAGACGCCCGAACAGATGGAAGAGATTTCAGGCACTGCTATGCGTTGCGGATTCTCTGGCGGTCTTGTTATTGACTTTCCTAACAGTGCGAAGGCCAAGAAATTTTTTTTGTGCCTATTTGCTGGATATACTACGCAGCAGCAAGTACCGCAGGGTCTTGGAACAGGAGTCAATGCTAATCAGGTCACGTACGAAGGACGCGGCAAGATCCAACGCGTACGGTCGCTGTATAGTTTACATTTTATGCGTTCATCATGATATTCAGGTCGACTCAATTGCTTGTTTTGCTATATACACAGAATCGTCGAGGAAAGGGTGATTCTATCAAGAATAAGGACTGGGTGCTGGCCAAGAAGGAGCGCTATCGCAAACAAGGCAAGAAGGTGAAGGCAGACAGCAAATTCACGGGTAGAAAGCGGCCTGGGAAATTTTAAGGCTACGTAAACCAGAGTGTTACATACAGCGCAACAATTAAAGGGTATAGAACAAAGAGATTTATGCGAAGATTTTTATTATAGTTGTCCCGTTACTCTCTAATGTTCTATTGAGCAGTAATCTCGACCTTCTCCATTATGAGCTTTGAGACGTACCATGTGATACGTCGACCTTCACAATCTCGCCTTTATCATTGATCTTCTCCGGTGCTTGTGGGTTTACATTTAACTGTCCCACAACGATGCACTCTGGCTCAATCTTAATAGTCTTGGCGGTAATATTGCCGAAAATTTGACCCTTGTCTCGCACCGAAATCTTCTCGACATTGATGTTACCGATGATTCGGCCACCAGCAATGAACACCTCCTTCATGTTATCAACATTTCCAAAAAGGGCACCACGTGATCCGATGACAAGCGATCCCTTAGAATTCAATTTGCCTTCAAACTCACCTTCGATTCGTAATAGACGTTCAAAACTCAATTCACCTTTCATCTTCACGGCTGCACCAATCGTAGTCTCTGGTTCAGCATCGACAATAGGCACTTTCACTTGACGCGTAGCCGAGTACGTTGGTGTCATAGGAGGTGACCCACTTTGTCGATTAGCATGGTAGCGACCTCGACGAATTGGAGATTCGTAATCCTGGTCTACGTACGTATCATCGGAAGAGTCGGCGGGAGCCGATGGTGCGTTAGCTCTTTTGACCTTTGGTGGTGGATTGCGTGGCTTAGGTCCGTCCTCCATTGCAGAACTTATACGTTATCTTGACGCTGCAGCTTTAAAGATTAGATTCGAGACACTTATCGAAAAAACTTGATGTTTTATCGAGAGAACTGTCACACGCAGGCAGAGATATTGACGAGATCGTCTGGAAGACGTAGCAAGACCCTTTTAAAGCTACAAAACTTTTCTTTATAGCACAGGTTGCCGTTTCCTGAAAACTGGCATGCTCGTAAGAATAGAGTGTCGTCTTCCCATCTACATGTATTGATAGCATTCGTCTAATTTAATCGAATCCAAATCATCTAAGAACAAAAAGATGAAAGCTAATATATATTCGTTTAGTGCGAATCAGATCTTCGCTTGCAGCGCACCTTGTAGACTAGCAGTCACACGTACGGTGTGCATTTGATGTAGTACGTGTCAAATATCGTTGAAGTAATGCCTGGCGCTTTTCCGTAGCAACTCCACTACTTTTTAGTGGCACATGGTAAGCAGCATGCCCTCGTACAGGGGCGACTTTAAACTCACCCAGCAGTTCTGGGCACTGCTTCAGACCTTCACCAATCTGCTGACACTCATTCAGCAAGTCAAAGGCTGTCGAATGGGGTACAACAGAATCGTGGCGATAGTCTGGGTGGGCGCGTACAAAACGACGCATCCAAGTGGCCGCTGTCGGTAATTCGCCCGTTGCGCGTTTTTTAATGAGGCTCATATACTTTTCAACAAGTGTTCTAGTGGCTTCGTCGCACTCTATGTAGTCTAAGTAAGCAAAAACAAGAGGAATGAGACCGGGGAAGTACGAGCCCTTGCCCAGCATAATTTCAGCTATTGTCATAAGCTCACTGCGGTCTGGATCGTCATGCAGATGGCATGGACCCGAAGAGCCACAATCATCGACCTCAGGTGGAGCCATATGGCAACGAAAGTGAAATTTTTCGTCTAGCACCGAATTCACACGATGAGCTGCCTCCATGTTATCATTCACTTTGGATAGCGGAATGTACAAATTCAAGTCGAACGTGAGAATTACGCGGGACAGAAGCGCGATGAATACCGTAAAGGCCGCGTTTTCAAAATCAGTAAGTTGAATCTCCATCGAGCGAAATTCTGTCCGCCAACCTATGTGAGGGCCTGGAACATTTGACCGAGCCGGCGGAGGCGGTTTCCAACGAACAGTCTGCCAGTTTGTCGACTGAATGTTTTCAAAATGGTCCGTTTCATGCTCATTGTCTAAATGCAATCGCTGCTTGTAAATGACAAGTGGGTCACGGATAAAAAGGTGCGAGATATGAAGCGCTAAGAGCCGATCCACGCCCGCCTCGATCAGAGTCTCGTAAGATGCTTCATCGTATGGAACACTAACATCGTTGTACTTGTCTGTGGACGTATGCGGGTCTTCACCTTGTTTGTGGTTGCAAATGAAGGTTGAAATGCCTTCATACCGTGATTTTGGTAAACGTTTAACGCCATTACCAGCCATCTTGGCGTACTGCGCAATAATATCTGGACTTGCAGGTGGTAGGGCTTCGCCCAGCTCTTGAGGTGTTCGATCATCCACCGCAGCAGAAATTGTGGCCCAGCGTACATCTGTATCAGCTAGCCGACCCTTTAAAATGGGCGTTGCAGCCGTAAGACCTAGCAAAATAGGCGAGAGTACTCCTAAATGATCGTACAGGTGCCTCGACTCTCCCACGTTTTTGGCTTGAAAAGTTACTTGCAAGCAGCACATGCCCATACCAAAAGCCATGCAATCCATGTGAATAAAGCCTGGAAACGGCTCTACTGTGTGGTCAGTATTCGCCGCGCGTTTCAAAGGTGACGTCAACAGTGTCGGTGTTTTCGACTCAGCATTCTCCTCCGAATCCGTCATTGGAGTCGGTGACATAGGAGCTGAACTGCGTGGACTCGTAGCTGGCGTCACCTTTTTGGTTTCATACTTTGGCCTTGATCTTTCTGCATTCCACGTCGCTTGTTCCTCCACTTGTCTGGCCTCTGTATACACGTCCTGAAAAATTGGGACACGAATATCTACCTTCCTCGTACGACGCTGCCGAATATTTCTCGTAAGCGTAGCGAAACGCGGGTGTGGATTAATGACTGCATCGCTGACATAGTCCGACATAGCTACAGGACCGTGAGGTTGACTAAACGGCATAGTGAAGTCACCAACGCCCATCATCGGAAACGCTGTGACGGACGGTGCGATCTCGTCCTCTTTCAGCAACGCTAGCAATCGCGCACGTCGCAAGCGCATATTGTCTTCTACTTTTCGAAGGTCACTTGTAAGGCCGCCGTAGGGTGCACTTGGTGTTCCTTCAATCATCCAGGCACCGTACTCGGGCACCCAGTTACAACCATCTACGTAAGGCCCAACAGCAGCTGTAGGACTCCCAGGTTCACGACCATGCTGCTCCGATTTCTTTTCTTTGATCTGTAGCTGATGCAAGATCTCAGCGCCACGTAAAGCCAATCGCACACGCTTTGTCTCCTTGTCCATATGAAATACGCCATACTCGAGCTCATCGCCCCATTTTAGCTCGTCGCCTTCAATATCTTTGACACGGTGATATATGTGTAAGAACTGGTCAATGCCCTGTGTGCGTACATGTTGGAGCCACTCTAGCGCATCTGGCCAGTCTAACGGACTGCCCTCAACGAGTAGACCCATATTAGATTCGAATTTGTCAACCCTTATAGAACCAATTAATTGTTCTTGACTCCAAGAAATTTGGAAAAAAAGAGCATTAATGCGTAAATTATACTCCGCCTATCAGTCAGTCACTACTGATACCGGGAGATGATATCGGTAAGTGCTGGTAGATTACAAAAACAAATTAACATAAATCAATTCTATTATCATTTTTTTTCAAAATAGAAAATTAGTACCGAAATTCAAACTGTGATATTCGACACCATACAAATCTTACCATGCCTCGCTCAGACGACAAGAGCAGTTCGAGGCAGCGCCGCCACGACAAAAAGAGACATAAAAAATGTCAGCGTCTCGATTCTGAATCAGAGAATGAGATAGAGGCACGTAATGAGCGTAAGGCACGTAAAAAATCGGCTAAGATGCTGGCGAGTTTAGGTTATTCGGACGAAACAAATCCGTTTGGTGACTCAAGTCTAAGTCAGCCGTTTGTGTGGGGTAAAAAGTATGAGGATAAAGGCAAGGGTAAGCCTTCTATCAAGGAGCTTAAAAAGCAACAACTACAACGTGTGGATGAGATTCGAAAAGCTCGAAAACGTCGCGAGGATCGTGAAACTGAACGCGAGGAGATGGAGCGACTAAAGAGCGAAGAAATGCGCTTAAAAGACGCTGAACAGTACGAAGATTGGCAGCAAAAAGAAGAGCAATTTCACTTGAAACAAGCAAAGGTACGTAGCCAATTACGAATTCGGGCCAATCGAGAAAAACCTGTGGATCTATTAGCCAAGAATTTGCTATTAGTATCGGCTAAACACGGCAAAAACGGCGAAGACGAGTTTTTTAAAAAAGAAATTGGACGTATACAGGTAGAACATAGACGACCGCATGCTATTGTAGAGATCTTGTCGATGAATGAGCTTACAGAGTTGCAGCACGATATTTGTACTTATGAAGAGCTGGAAGAGAGCGGTAATGGTGGAAAGAATGCCGAATTTTGGCAATTGATGAAAATTGTGTGTGATGATCGAATTCAACGCTTGAAAAAGTCGCAAAATGAAGGACGAGCAGATAGAGAGGCTATTCATGATTCGGTGAATGAAAGTATCAAGGAAATGCTGAAGGGGAAGGATAAAGAAGGTCTTGAAAAGCTGAATAGTGATGTAAAAGAAACGATTGCCAGTGTCAGTAACGGGGCGACAGGAGTGGATGTCGACTTTTGGCAAGATGTAGCGCAACAAATTCAAGTTTATCAGGCTCGTGCTCGACTGACTGAACTACATGAAGAAATGTTGAATAAGCTAGCTGATCTCATGGAAGAGCACGAGAAGAACGCTGTAGACACACTGGCTCGTGCACCTGATGATAAATTACATGGTGTAGTGGATGAAAATGGACGTGATGCTGGACTTGTAGCATATGAGATGGAACAGTCGTTTGCTTCTAAGGAGCTTGATGAATCGGAAGAGAAGTTTGGTGAGTCAGAGGAGGTGACAACAGCCGACTCGAGGACAGTTCCGCGATGGAGTGAAAAGTACCAGCCGCGCAAACCTCGGTACTTTAATCGTGTCAAGACAGGCTTCGACTGGAACAAATATAATCAGACGCACTATGATCGTGATAACCCACCTCCCAAAGTCGTACAGGGCTACAAATTTAATCTCTTTTATCCCGACCTTATTGACAAGCAAACAGCTCCTCGATTCTTCTTGGAAAAGACCCACTCGGATGAATTTTGTATCATTCGTTTCTCTGCTGGTCCACCTTATCAAGACATTGCGTTCAAGATTGTCAACCGCGAATGGGAATACTCACACAAACGCGGCTTTAAAAGCGTCTTTGAACGTGGGATTCTCCAACTTTATTTTAATTTCAAGCGTCACAGATACCGTCGATAGGATTCATAGCTTTATCAAACAAAATTTACTTTAAAGTACGTCTTGTTTGTATTAAATGTTTCTTACGTTCATCTTGCTATCATTTTTTATGAAAGCGGGTGCAAGAGTCCACTACCCTATCGACATATTCACTACGCACCATACACTTCGCGTTGCTCTTTGCTGTTCATTTCAATCATCCGCTCAGCTCGGCTGCCTCTTATTTTTGTTGCAGTTTAAAGCTCAATGCGCTTGCCTCCACCACCACTACTGTTACTGGCGTTGCTCATTGTATCACTTGTTTGGCGGCTCTTGTAGCCGTTCCGATCGTACGACCCGCGACGAGCCCGCCCGCGATTCCCGCCATTGTGGTGGTTGCCGCCCGTAAGCGACTGTCTAAGTGAAGTATTTCGCATTCCATCATACGAGTCGTTGCGGTCGTAAGAGCCACGACGAGTGCGATTTCCCTCCACGCTGCCCGTGATCGATTGCCGCGATGATAAACTACGTCGATTTCCATTATCATTGTCCGAACGGTCGTAAGAGCCACGACGTACGCGGCTCTTTGACTTTCCGGTACCGTTCGAAGTACTTTGTCTTACAACCATATTACCTCCGGTAAGCGACAGACGCTGGTTCTGTTGTTGCTGCTGCTTTGCATCCTCCACCATATCGATGCCAAGTGTCACACTAAAGCTCACGCGGTCACTGCTATCCTCAGGCTCACCTTCCAACACAATACCGATCACTTTGGCTGGCGATTCTAACGGACCATCCTCACCTGTAGGCTGACGGATTGCCGTACAAGTGAGGACTGGACTTGCATTAGCTTGCGATGTTGACGTTTCCGACGATGAACCCGTACTGGATATTGAAGAGGAGCGTCGATCTCGACCTTTAATGACCTCTGCGAACGAGAGACGTTCGCCCGTATTTTCAGCTGTAGGAGAGAGAACATTGACAGCTGGCTCCTCTTCCGGGCCGGCGCTGGGGATCTCTCGAATGTTGACCACACGAGAGGACTTAGACGTCTCATGAGTAAACTTTTTGCTAGACAACGAGTTAGCACGCTTGATAGGCAGGGATAACTGTTGAGTGACCGAAACACTATTATCCGTGGGAGGCGTAGGCGGTTGCAACGTTGAGAGCGGCACGCGCATACCCATCGAGGGCTCCGAGAGCTCGATAGCTTTGGAAGGAGTGGCACTTGTTTTTTGGACGGTCACTTTTTGCTGTGGCTGCTTCGATGACAGCGCTAGCTTTGTCAGGCGAGGTACTTCTTCGCGATGTTTTCGACTTAACTCGGGATCTTGACGCAAAATCAGGCGAAGGCGAGCATTTGCCTTGGCAAGCGCCATGTTTTCACCCTGCAAGTGTTCAGTGTGTTGCTTCAGATGGTCTACCGTATGGCGAAGAGTCTGACGTTCATTAAGGGCCTCGCTCAGCGAACTTTGCATAAGCGTGATCTTCTCCATCACACCAGCATGTTGTGCCTTCAAGTTGCGATGGCCCGTTTTGTATCGAGCAAGCTCACTTTTCAAGGCCTCATTTTCATCCTGCAGCTTCATAGCGCGCTGGTTGGCAGCCGCAAATGATGCTCCGTTCACGTACGCACCTCGTTCCATAACTTCCTTCTCTTTACGTAGCTGTACACCATATGTCTTTAAGTTTGTATTAGCTTCCTTCAAAGCGGCGTTTTCACGACGCAGTTGATCAATCACGAAATCAGCATCTTCGAGAGCTTCTTCGCTACGCATGTGAACTGAAGCACGGCTACCGTACTGCGCTTGCTGTTCGAGTTCAATTCGCGCCTCACGCTCTTGTTGCAGACGTTTTTTAAGCAATTGAATTTGATTTTCAAGTTTTGCGTCTTCTCTTGCCTGCTTTTGCAGACCGGAAAAGGCCTTGACAGCCAGATGCATTCGTACAACGCTTTGCATCGTCCGGATCGCTTTCACTTTCACTTGGTACTTACGCCTTGCCACAAACATCTTGCAAACGTTCTGGATCTGAGTAGCACGGTATTCCTCGCGCATATGCACCAACAACTGGCGAGCACGGTGGCGGCGTACGTATTTCTGAACGCTAATTGCAGCTTTTCGTTGCTTCTTGTACTGCACCATCGCACGGTGGCCACGGTACACCTTTTGCGCCACAAGTGCCGCTTCCTTTATCTTTTGGAAGACAGCCATAGCCATCCATTTCTTCGCGTAGCGCTGAAGCACCACAGCTGCGGCGTTAAATTTACGCGTACGCAGCTCTTCTAGTCCTTCTAGAGCACCTTGGCGAAAGAAAATTCGTGTCTTACCAATTTGATACTCGCTCTCCTTGTCCGGCATCAAATTTGTCAGGAGCTCACGAACAGCAGCAGCAACCTTTTCGTCATTACTTATGTTTTCATTCTCAGTGGCTGTAAGCACAGCAAGTGCATTTGTCGTTGCTGTCAGCGCCACACCACGAAAACGTTCAAGAAACATTGTTTGCATTACACGATTAGGAAACGCCATCCGACTGATTCGCACAGCTTCCACTACACCAGCACATCGAAGCTGCTCCGTTACACGAAGTTTATTAAACACCAACGGACTCTTCTTGCCATTAGGCTTAATGCAGCGGATATAATGAACGTTTGTACGACGAATGTCCTCCATCAGACCATTTAGCTGACTCTTAAACTGCGTACCCACCGTATCTGCAACGATCGAATTTTTGCGCTTCATGACGGAACGACCGTGCAATTCGTTGGCAGCAGTAATAGCATTTGTACCAGGAATTCCCGTCATCGCATCACCCACATGCTCTTCAGGAAAAAGTTTCTTCAAGAACGGTGCTTTTGATTTCTTTATCAATAAAATTAAATCATTTTGCAGTGCATCCGTATTTTTGATTAAAAACCCGTTAGTGTCGTATTGCACAGGACCAGCATAATGTTTGATCACGAAAGCGTCACGAGCAAAGCGTGGACATTCAAATCGGTCGTTATCACTGTAGTGGGCCTTTAGTTTATTCGCAAATGCTGCATCACTACCTTTTGGACGCATACATTCTTCATTTAACAACGCCAAGACACCAAAACGACCTTCCAAGAGTGTCAAAACGTTGACATTGTCTGCAAATTCAATACGTGTCCACGGAATTCCCTCATCTTCATACTCTTGTTGTATTGACTTGAATACATCTTGTGTAAACTTTTGCTGCAATTTTTCATTCGCGTAGTTAATACACAATTGCTCAAACGAATTTTTTTCAAAGATTTCAAACCCAAAAATATCCAATATACAGATCTTATGAGCCACAGTCGCATGCGTGGCACTTGTCGACATATTAACACGGTGAATCAACCATGAAAACATTTGTGAATATAACGCGACACCCAATGCCGTACGAGCTCCTTCTGCTTGTGAGACGTTTAGTGGCACTTCATATGTATCAGCCACAGCTGTCATTTCACGTGTACAAAGCGCAGTGTGCAATTGATTGTCGTCAAATTCAAGTAATTGTGATACGACTTCACTCACGTGTTGATTCTCAGGTGTAGCAGTGAGTTGTGACGCATCATCATTGCCAGGTGTTGACTCAAATTGTAATCGAGAAAGATGTAAGATCGCAGCAACCACCTTAAAAATACTCAGTTGATCCTCTTTCGACACTCCCATAGTTTCCAAACATGACACAGTTTGTTGAAAACGCTTGGCATCTTTCATACCAGCATTCACGTCAATGCCGTTGCTTAAATCTTCTTCATGTGGCCTAATAAATGGAAAATCCTTGGCTTCCAATCCTGTAACCTTAACTTGCGTTGTGACATCCTCTGGAGCAGCCAATAATTGATAAAATATATGATAATTACGTTCGCCGAGTCCTTGGAGCGATACTCTTGATTTTTCCAGCAGATACGTGCGAGAACGAGCTCCAATCAATTGACCACGTGGATCAAATTGTAATTCTGAAAATTTCCCAAATCGACTCGAATTATCATTTCGCGATGTCTTGGCATTACCAAACGATTCCATGAGCGGATTAGCATCGAGCACACGTTCAATAATATTGGCCTCTTTGGCTTGAGCTTCTGTTGTAGACTGACTGCCCGCTGAAGCCAAGTGGGACATTAATATTTTTGTCGTCTCGGTCTTGCCAGCGCCCGATTCTCCACTTACAAGAATACTTTGATTTTCTCCAAAGACACGCATGTGCTGAAAAGCACCAGCACTCGTAGCATAAACATGGGGAGGCAATTCATTGCGATCGCGTTCCATATATTGTTCTTGTAGTTCTTTCGTATAAATATCAAGCCAAGAATACTATTGAAAATTCGAATAATAATTTTTGTTAGTGATACGATAAATCAGACGTAGATGCACAGAGAGTGGGACAGATGGGCAACGTACTGGATTAACAGCAATGCAAATGGCACCAGTATATGTGTAAGGAATTTGTCGCAAAAATCGGTGTTTTAGGTTGAATAGGATGGCAGGCTCGTGTAGATAGTTTAGGCTCACCATGTCCGCACAGCCGTCCTCTGACGTAAGCTCGTTTTGCAACAGCATCAAGGACTTCTATACTCAATTAGAATCAGAAGATCGCATACAACAGTAAGATGGATATATTATCACAAAGCAATGGATAGGCACAAGAGCGTACGTCGATTGTGCGGACGACACCGGCTTCGGGCTGCTTGGACGCGTCCTCTTCGGCCAAATCTCCCTCAATCATCACCTCGATAGTCGTTTCACTCACGACGTGGCCTTTTGTAATAGTGGCCTCTACCCAACTTACTTCTGGGTCTGGCACATAGATCTATTCAAGCCGAAAAGCGATTAAGTCTCGATGTAACCTAGACTTACAACAAAAGCAGTGACGCACCTTTGTTTGCTGGTCTTCCATTATTACGAACGTGTGTGGACGGAAGATGATGACAAGGGATTAAGGATTTGAAAGCTTTCGAACCCTCTAGTCTTGATGCAAGCTTGGAGCTCTCCCGCAAAAGTAGCAATGAGGCGATTACAAAGCCTCGCAGGTGGGCAGGCGGACGGACGGCCTTACCCTAGGCCACCCTCTGTCGTCAAAAAAAATCTCGCCACCGCATAAACCGATGTCCTGGTCAGTCCTGTCTGCCCCCCTTAAATGGTTTATTCTAATACCCGTAAGGCATAGTGAATTTGTCTCTGCCTTCATGAGATAATTTGAAGCATTTTATCAGAAAAAGGAGCTAATATGACCACATTGCTGTAAACAATGCAGATTTTAATGCAAGCCATATCGTTTTATGCGGGATTTAGGTAGTGCACATGAATCTGAGCTGCGAAAAGCTACGTTTGTCGTTACTGTATATCATCGCACAAAATGTAACGACAAAAAAGCTTCTCACCGAACAATGACTCGTTACTGACATTAAATTTTGATGGCTCGTATGTAGGACAATGAAGACGATCTCGCATTACGAAATAATGCTACGATGGTATTGAAGCTGGCAAGATAACCTACCCACAGAAATCAGACATTTGTACAGGTATAGGCCTTGCTTACTCATTCGGCTACATCAAAAAATAATAATAGTTGATTACCACAAAAAGTATTATAGTTCCTCGCAGCAGAATATAACTTTTAAAAGCTATATATTATTGTACTTTCAAGCTAAGTCAAAAATAGCAGTCCGAAGGGTCATAACATATTACGACAGTACCAGGCCGCTGCTTTAATAAATGTTACCACTGTTACCACATGGTTATTGTCGTAGTTTGTCTACATCTTTACTTCTCATACCAATATAAATAGGAGCAATTTATTTGTTTTCACAACATCAGACCAGCGTTTTATCTCTGCAATTTTTCTGATTTAAGTTTAGGTGGGCAGATGTAAGTATCAAGTACTTTACATCGGATAAATAAGTATACAGAAATGAAGCTTTCCACAGTACCGGTATTCTACCCAGGACTAAGCGAGAATTATTGAGGCCTCGAGTGTCGGAACATTCTCGAATAAAGCAAGCTATGATAGATGTTACTATCGATATTATACGTGTATCAGACTACTTACAGCTTTACGATGCGGCTGCGCTCATCACATCAAGCGTACCCAATATTTTTGGTGCAGAGAACGCGCACATGGGTACCGCCCAGGCAGCCGGTCTAAGATATTATTAGTTTTTTTGGGTTGTATGTATCACCGGGAGAGTTTTCGAGCTTAACTCTAACGGTTTGCAACGAAAAATGCTGAAACTTGCACCTGTAGCTCAAATTTTAATTATCAAGAAAACACTGAAAATAAAAAGTTCTTTTAATCCGACACGCTCTGTGAGCAACACAGCAGCAAATTTTTAATTGTTAAGGCTGTACTCTCCTGAATTTCTATCATTCGAAAATTTGCGTGCGACTACCAACGTGTCCCTTTATAACTCGGACGTTTCCTGCACTAACTACAGCTCGAGTCAACACAGAATTAGTTTCTGGGGTCAATCGTTGGAACATTTTGCCGTTCGGGCGTTACTAACTGTTACGATGTATGCCCTCGTAAATCAGTACATCATTTAAAGCGTTCAACATGTTATTCTCTCTAGTCTTCTTTTTACACTGTATGATAACCCTCTTGATACGGAGCATAGATCTAATTCTCATGAGCATCGGCTAGATTGATTTGAAATTATCGAGCTTACGCTTTCTCGTCGGTACCCTTTCATACGCAAGTCTTTTCGTGGCGCAAAGAAATATGTGCACTCGGTATTACTAAAGTCAGCTTGAATAACACCAGAATAAAAAATGGTAGATTTCAACATTCTAACATTCCTTATCTCTGCTACTTCAGGTCACCATCACTCTGATTCTTTGCGTTTCGCGGTAAGTACGAATAATCAAAGTGAATATCATTACATAAGGTATTCATATTGATGGGATCACATGCTTTCATCATCCTGCACCAGCACACTTCAGCGTGAATGTTAAGGCACAAAGCTTGCCCGAGATAACTCCTTAGGTGGTCGGTTGGATACATGGTTTGACGAGCTGTCAGGATTATAAAGCCGCCTGTGCTCAACGATATAAAGCTCTAATTTTCTAACGGAGGCTGGAAAGAGTAACTCGAGTGATTAACTAGCTATAACCTATTTTATCATGGCACCCTGCACAGAGGATGCTTTTTATTCGTCCGTCGGGCACGGAGCTGACGAATTTTTAAGCGCCAAATATTTTAATATCAGGCACTTCAGGTGTTTAAAAGCACTCACTCGAATGAAAGGGTGACATGTTTAACTTGAAGTTAGCCTTGTCAATATCTCAATGTTTCATTACATGAAACCTAAAATGTTAGTAACCCGCATGCCCTGTCAACTGTTCAGGTTTCAACTTCATCTCCTCGATCTCGTACTCAGTAATATTCGTGTTAACGTACCCTCCATGATATTTTCACCGCGGTTGATGTGTAATAGTGTGGCCGGCACATAGCCTAACGTCCGAAATGAGAGCACATTGGTGTCTATGAGAGCATTGAATGGTAGTAGACAAAGTGTATTCAGGATTGTCCGAGTCAAGATCTAAGCATAGTATGAAGAAAAATGCATGCTCAGTGTACGCAATCGACACAGTATTCATTGCATGCCAAACGTTATGTAATTGTCTTTTTAGTCTTGTTCATACTGGCAGAGCCCGAGCGCTGCATGTGTTGGCCAGATCACTTGGCGATGATCTTGATAAGCTGTCACTTTAAATGTAACAACGTAGCAAATACAGTAACAGGTCACGTGCTAATGGCAACGTTCTAATGAGGCACACCAGATGACAGATTAGTGAAGAGAACAATTCGCCGAATATTGTATTGGATATGATAAGGCTGTGTTAAAGTCTTGTGTCATGCTTGATTTAGCCGGTATGAAACTACATCTATTCCGGCTGTACACTATATGCCCTAGAGGCAAAAATTTCGATCTCAATTGTCATCATATATTGACGAGTGGAGGCACTTCAAATCACAACTTATGCAAGAATATCCGCGTTTATCACTACCTGAAAAGCATTTGGAGCAATAAATTTATAAGGAAAAATAATGATGGCGTTTCAAATTTACATCTTAAAGCGATAACATTGTAGAGTGAACAGACAAGGTCTCAAGTCGATAAATATAATTGGAATTTAAGATTCTGGACACTTAAGCTGATGTTGCGTGCATTCGCACTGCATTATTGTCCTGTATAAAAAGCTCAAAGGTTCTGTGAGGTACCAGTTAAGTCATGTCTGGTACGAGATCGAAGAGATTACACTTCGAATGGAAAGGAGCTACGTGGATTAAGATGTTTATATTATTATAGAGCGAATTGATTTTAGATATCACGAAATGAATGCAGTGTAAAGTGCTGCGTATTAAGAGGCTTTCCAAGTCTACGTCTTTTCCAGTGAGTCAAAGCTTTCGCGCTATGACACTGTAGTACATCCGACGGCTGAATAATAATAAAACAGTTCCTTTGTAACAATGGGGCAAAAGCAAGCTCAATTTATGTTTGATGCTACCGTTTGTCAAGCAAACACAGCAGATGGTGGTTCATGACCCGAAAGCGTTTATTGCCCGTCTGAAGGTTTTCGCCAGCTACAAGAATACGCTGGCGAGACACCCTTCGAACCGTATAAATTGGATGTTACGTGAGACTAGCTAGACGTCACGGAGTAGAGCAGAGGAAGGAACGACTAGAGCTAAGATCCCAACGGGAAGCTCAAAGAGTCGTGAAGCGAAGGTCTTGAAGGGAGGTGAAGGTTCAGCAGGGAACCCGAGGCGAGGCTTGAGGAGTAGACGGACGTACCCCGAAGAAGGTAAATTGGAAAGTGAGATTGAAATGGTTAGAGGTCTAAGAATCCTAGTTCACTAAATACCCTGTAGCTAGCTAGTCCAGTTCTTATCTCTTAAACTAAGTATTGAAGATTCTTGAACGTTCTTGTGAAAGATCTTGACAGTTCGATAAATTAGGCACCGATAGCGGTTAACCTTAACCGGGCCGTGATACGAACCGTACTTCATACAATTTTGAAAATAAAAAGAAAGCGTATAGTTGAAGTTGAATTCGAACTACAACGTGGGGTGCAAACATGTTGTTGCTCCAGCCTAGCACGTGCCAGGCTGGCCACTGAGTGGCTAGTTGAGATACTAGCGTGACGCTATAGCGTCGTTACATCCTCCGGGACTTGACTTCTCGTTGATGGTTCGTGAAATCGTCGACGAGAACCTTCCAGTGCGACACATGCTTGATGTCTTTTTCACGCTCCCAGGTTGCTTCATGGTCGGGTAATTCATGCCATTTAACGAGCCATTCGAGTTTGCGATTGAATAGGCGTTTTCGAAGTAATTTTTCAATGATGTGCATCGTGTCGCCGGTTTCTTCATCAATGATCAGTCTGGAGGCCTTGGGGATTGGTCGAGTCTTAAACCGTGATGGGTTTTCAACGTAACAGCTCAGCACATCCACAAAAACGTGGGGTTAAATCGTCTCATGCTTCGCGGGAGTTCCAGCTTGGCAACCTTCGGATTGACCATCTTCAAAATCTCGAAGGGTACAACTTTGTGCAGCAAGCTTAGCACGTTTTCCTTCAATATCTTGAGTCACATGAGCGGATGGAATACGACGTGTATCCAACATGACCATATCTCCCTCCTTGAACGCGATAGACGTTCTCTTCTTGTCGTAATACTTCCTCTGACGTTCTTGGGCTTGGAGAAGGTGTTTCTTAGCCAGATCAATGATTTCTTGACGTCGATCTTGGAATTTTTTGCATATTCAGCAATACCATGATGCACTTGTGCCATGGTGCTCAGATTTGTCAACGAATTCAGCCTTACGTCCTGTGTCAACTTCAAAAGGCGACAAACCAGTTGATGCGCTGACAGGGGTAGAATGAGCGTACTCAATCGTCCCTAAATGATCTGACCAACCACGTCCATGGTACGATACCATGCAGCGTAGAGCATCTTCCAGAACCGAATTCTGGCGTTCAGTCTGTCCATCGGCTTGAGCACGATAGGAGTTTGTCATGTGGAGACGAACTCCCATTAGCTTCGCCAAAGATGACCAAAACTTGGAGATGAACTTAGGATCTCGATCGCTGATGGTAATCCGTGATGGCAAACAACGCAATCGAAGAAGCGGTGTGCAACGTCCCGAGCATCGTCAGTACGATTGCACGCAGAATACTTTGGGCGTTTGGATAATGTGTCAACAATGGTCATGATTGCATCAAAACCCTTGGAGTCTGGTAATCCTGTTACAAAGTCCATAGATACGACAGACCAACATTATTCAGGAATGGGAAAAGGAATTATCTTACCATTCTTGCGAGCATTGCTGTGTTTCCAGCGAGTGCAAGTTTCACAACTTTGCACGTGATCTCGAACATCTTGGTCCAAAGTGGGCCAATGATATCATTGCGCTATGCGAAGGTAAGTTCGATGAGCTCTAGGATGAGCGGCGATGCTGGAATCATGAAAGCGTTCAATGATGGAGGTTCGAATACGGTTGTATCGAGAGTGCGGAACACACAAACACATCATCGTCTGTGACTTGCGGAAAAGCAAATCGTTTTATTTGACAAAAGGCTCTTCCGGATTCTTGAAGCGATCGCCATTATCTGGACAAACCCTGTAACCTGTGGTGAATTCCGTAAGAATTTCATCAGACCAACCGAGCGAGCTCGAATTTTGCGATTGCTGCGTCACATTGGTGAGCATAACCTCACTCACATCGGCAACTGTGCGTGACTGAATAAGCGATACTTGTCGGTAAGCACTTGGATTTGAACAAATGAATTATCAGAACCTTCTGCAAGATTTGCAGCAACCCCCTATCCTCGAAATTGGACAAAAGAGGTTGGTGGAACGATAGATCGATTCACAGTACGGATACCGTAGGGAACTGGACGTCTGTTTCGAGCAGCACGACCTTGGCAACGCGGTGTGCATTGGTGACATGCTACATTGCTCATCGTCATCTCTGAAGGTGGACGAGACAACGCGTCAGCAACCACATTCAACTGACCCTTTACATGATGCAGCTTAAATGTGAATTGCGCAAAAAACGTCAGAAAGCGAGCCAGTTTAGGCGACGCTTTCGGGTGGTGCAAAAACCATTTGCAAGCGGTATTATCTGTATAAATGTCGAATTCTCGACCATAGAGGTAATGACGCCGTTTCTCCAATGCTAACTTGATGGCAAGGAGTTCTTTTTCATGTGATGGCCAATTGACCTCATAAGGTCCCAACTTCTTCGAGAAGAAAGCAATCGGATGATCTTGACCCGAATGAACTTGAGAGAAAACGCCACCCACGCAATACCCGGAGGCATCGGTGGTAACAATAAAGCGTTTCTCGTGGTCAGACAACTTTAACACAGGAGCTTCTTGAAGAGCGGACTAAATTTGCTCAGAAGAACTCGTTTGTTCCGGACCCCAGTCCCAGGTGTATTCTTTCTTGACAAGTGGACCAAGTGGTAAAGCTAGACTGGCGTAGTCACGAATAAAACGACGGTAGTAACCTGCGAGACCCAAAAATCTTTGTAGTTGCTTTTGGTTCGTGGGAGTTGGCCATTTTGCAATAGCTTCTGTCTTGCGGGTGTCAACGGCGAGTCCTTTGGACGAGATAGTGTGCCCAAGGAACTTGATTTCAGTTTGACCGAAATGACACTTGGACAAATGACAAAACAGTTTCTCTTGGTGGATAATTTCGAATAGCGTACGCAAATGCTCAACATGTTCTTCCACACTGGCGGACAAGACACGAATGTCATCGAGGTAGACAACAAAAAAGCTATACTTAGCGAAAAGATTTCTCAGAAGGCTAGACCATACGCGAGGCATACCTGCCATTCCCATAGGGGCGACAGACCACTAATAAGTTTCAGAGTGCGTTCGGAAGGCGGTATACTTGCGACTCTGGAATGCGATACGCATCTGGTGATATCCTTGAGCTAGATCAAGTACAGAGAAGATGACACAACCACTCATTCGATTAGAAATTTCTTCGATGCGAGGCAGTGGAATATTCGGAACAATTGACTGCGAGTTCACGTAGCGATAGTCAATGACCCAACGGATTGGTAATGTTGTGTTTCCAGAGCGTACCTACTCAGAACGAGATAGTTAATGTCCTGAAGTAAGATCTTTCTTTGGGATCCCAAAGGCATTGGATACCCACGGAGGATCAGAGACTTCGATCCAGCCTTTCTTCAACTTTTCCGCGACAAACAGGTCGAGTGCATCCTGTTCCACCTTGGACAGGCGAAACGGACCACGATTGCTTGGGACAGCATCAGGTTTCATTTTCAGTTCGAAGTCAACAGGACGCGAAGGTGGAAGTCCATCCGGAAGCGTTTCTGGAAAGACATCAGTAAATTCTTCCAGCAACTTGGTGATTGGCATGGGAACCGAATCACTCCCCGAGGTGACAGCACAAATATTCACTCGATACACTTCGCCGTAAGCCTTTGTCTTGATTTTGCGTTTGAAATCAATAGCGGCAATTTCCACGGCTTCCTGAGGGAATGGGGTGGCGTTGGTGGTGCATTACGCATGGACGGAAAGAAAAACTCATGCGATCGCCAATCGATGTTAGGTTGGAACTTGGTAAACCAAGGTTTTCCTAAGATGACATCATGTGCGGATTCTAACGGCCATTCCATAACCTGAAGCTTTCGGAAACGATAGCGACCAAAACCTATGGTGGCGATACATTTCTTTACAGAACGAGCTCTCGTAGAAGTTTCATCAAAACGGGTGACTTGTGAAACTCCCGAGGTAGACATATTGTTGACTTGCCCTAGACGAACAACATTGCATTTGGCACCACTGTCGAACATAATGACGACAGGTTTCCCTTCACAAGTCCGTTGTTTACGAATGAGTTCGTTTTCCCTATGCACGGTTGGCAAAGTAGAGGTGGAAAATTCTTCCACTTCAACAACTTCTTCTTCGTCACTTGAAGGTGTGACTGAATTTGAAGTAGACACATTGGTAGCGGCGGCAGGAGAAGAAGAATCGAAGTTTGCAGCAGATTGTTCATGGCGGTTCTGCCGAGTGTACTTCTCCTTGCTCTTTAGCTCGAAGCACTGTTCAATGACATGACCAGGCTTCTTGCAGTATCGACTCTTCTTGCGGGAAGAAGAGGTTGGTGGAGAAGAACGGCGGTATTGGGTACTCTCTGAGTCAATTTCTATTGGCTCGGGTTCGTTCTCTTGAGGACGTGCGGATGCAGATTGTTGTTGCTGGTTACCGTTCGTGTGCAGGCGTGATCGGTCCAGCGAGAAGACCGGAGGACGGTACTTCTTTCCGTGGACATAATGAGATCAATCGTACTCTAATGCAATTTGCATTGCTTGTGACACGATTTTACAGCGACGGTATTGAACTTCTTCGCGCGTAGGACTCATAATTCCACGTGTGAAGTAAGTGATCTTGCCCAACTCGCTCATGTCTGTAACTTTATGATAGCTTCACGCAAACGAGAAAGATATTCCTCTAGGCTTGGACAATTCTTTTGCTCGAGCGCGTACAGTTGATCACGTAGACGTTCTTGCAAATCCGAAGGCACAAATTCCTCGGTCAGTTCGAGAATAAGGTCTTGCATGTCGTTAATCTCACGCTTGTTCAGCTTGTACCAAGCGGCAGCATTTCCTTTGAAATTCGCAGTAGTAATTGCTAAAATTTGAGAACTTTGGGCGTCAT